CCGCCCCCATCTCGCTGGCGTCTCCCAACCTGCTGTCCTCCGGGATTTGGGGTCACACCCCAAACACCTGGAACCCTAACCGTGAAACAGGAAGAATTATTTCAGGAATGCGGGAGTCCAGCAGGGAGAGGGGGGAACTAACTCTTGCAGATCCACCGTAGCTCAGGGGTCCTTGGCGTTCCCCGAAATCCTTACATTCAGTTTACAAAACATCCTCAGAATCCCCCCGTCTTCCTGGAAGCTGGGCGTAGGCCCGGGGGATGGCACCTGGGGGTGTTAGCTTTCTTCTCTAGCCTGCAAGCCCTTTTAGGGCAGGGACTGTACCTTTTTAAAAAAATAAAAATTACTGATTTTAGAGAGGGAGGAAGGGGCGGGGAGAGAGTGAGATCTGTTGCTCCACCCACTCACGCGTCACGGGCTGATTCTTGCATGTGCCTTGACTGGGGATCAAACCCACAACCTTGGCGCAGTGGGAAGTCGCTCTGACCAGCGGAGCTCCCCCGCCAGGGTGGGGACCGTACCTTTTTTCAACTACATGACCTTGGCTGAAACCAGAAAGTTTTTACCAGGGCTGTTGAATTTTACCTCCCACGGGCAGGCACAGTTGGAAAGGAAGGAAAGTCCCGTCCCTTCAGGGGACGTCATTGTTCGTGAGATAAAACCTGCTCCTCTCTGTCCGTTCCAGACGAGGGTGGCCCAGAACACAGTGAATAAAGGCCGGTCCCCCAGTCCTCTCACCACACCCGAGAGCCAGGCCCGCGCACCGATTATTCTGAAAAGGCTGTTATTGCTAAATCCTGGAGCTCTGGTCTTGTTTCAGGGAGGGGGGGGAGAGAAACGTCAAGGAAGACGAAAGAATATTTACAAGTCTAATTTGTAATTTAAAAAGTCTGATGAAAACAGCAGCGTGGCCCTGAAAAGGCAGGAGGAACCTCATGTGGGTCCTAGTCGTGGGGGCGGCGGGTCTGAAAGGCCTCGGCCGGCGAGTCCAGGGCTCTGGCCCGGAAAAGGCGGTGCTGGGGAGACAGCAGAGACCCGGGGCCTGGGCTGGGGCTGGGAGAAGTAGCGTCTTAGCACCAGCAGGGCCGTGCTCCGTCTTTGACACAACACTTTGTGCCCCTTCACCGCTATCATTCTGGTTCAAGTCCCTCGTGAAGAAGTTAAACGGTTCTCTGTGGACACAGGCAGGAGTCCAGCTTCCCTCTCGGGCCCCTGGAGGGGCTGAGTCAGAGGGTCCCCGGGACGGCTCAGCTCACGGCCTCCGAGGGGAGGGAACAGATGAGCCTTCTGACCACAGGCGCACAGTCCGCTCACGTGTGAGGACCAGGGCTTTGCAAAGCTTGTCTGACAATCTTTGTTTTCTCTCTTCCGAATCCACCGAAAACTGACGTGGTCCTTGCAAGTGGCTCTAAAACAATATGCCAATATCAGGACACCTTTCTTTTAAAGACTGGAGGCCTGGCCAGCGTGGCTCAGTGGTTGAATGTCGACCCATGAACCTGGAGATCAGGGTTCGATTCCTGGTCAGGACGCATGCCCGGGTTTTGGCTCGATCCCCAGCAAGGGGCGTGCAGGAGGCAGCCGATCAAGGACATGAAGCCCTTTTGCATTTGGGCTGATTTTCTCAGCAGACGTTATAACCCACAGTTTCCTGATCCACACCGACATGCCTGGGGGTCCCCGTTTGCAGAGTGTTTCCCAGTTCTGACAACATCCTCCACGTATAACCTCATTTATTTCTCCAAGCAACTGGACAAAGCACGTGTGACCATCACATTTTACAGGTGAGAGCTCGGGGCTCAGCCTGGAGCCCCAGGTCACCTACCTACACCTGGCAGAGGTCACGGTCAGGGCCTGGCCTCACCCCAGGCCCCTCGGTGGATGTTTTTAAAGCTTCAGTTAAAGACAAACCTCAAATAAACTCTCCTGTCAATAGATGCTGGGAAAGTGGGGAGGAAATAAAATTCTCTGGACTGAGGTTTTTAGCAAATTTTTTTTTTTTTTGACCATGGATCCCTGGGCAATTTGGTGGCTTCTTTCTCCAAATACTATTTATAAATATGCAGAAAGAATAGATAGGGTTTCAAAGGAAACCAAATATATTACAATACATGCAGGGTGTCCCCCCAAAAATGTATACACACTTTAACAGCTGATAACTCAATTTTGAAATTGAAATGTATTTTAATAAACACTGCCTTTATAATTATTCAAAGCGTGTATACATTTTGGGGGGACACCCTATAGTTATCAAGATATTTTAAAATGTATGACACTGTGCTCCTTTATTGACATTAAATATCAGGAGTAGAGTTTCTACCATGATTTTTAAATAGTGAAAACAAACATGATATTGCAAAGCACCTACCAGAACTGTATCAGGATCTGAAAATACTGACTTTCTATTGGTGACAAAGTACCTACCTTCACAATGAGAGGAAATGCAAATTTCCCTTAGAGAATCCTGAACACAGAGATGTTACTGTTTTCTGATCCAAGTTCATGGACCCCTGAGGCCCCGGCCTTGGAATAAGAACCTGCTCTGGGCGCTCAGGCCCTGGGACCGGGTCCTCAGCCTGCATCCCGGGGGAGGGGGCATCACTTCCCATCCCGCCCGCGGCCTGCGAGGTCAGCTTACCCTCCAGGGTCTCGCACTGGACCAGGTTGAGGTAGTCTTGCTGGGTCAGGAGGCCGGCCTTGCACCCCCGCACCAGGCCCTCCAGGTAGCCGTGGTCCACATTGAAGCACAGCTCCGCACTCTCCAGCATGGGGACAGGTGAGGGCGGTCGGGCCGGGACAGCGGTGTCCTGGGAGCCCTGGGAGCCTTGCACTGGTCTGGAAAAGCTCAGCCGGCTCAGGAGTCACCAGGAGGCTGCCTGTCAGCTGACAGTCAGGGTTTAGTGACTAGTTCTCTCCAGTTCAGTGGCTTTGACCACAGAGGCTCAGCGGTGTTGACGGCAACAATGAATGACCTGGATGACCCACCAGCCCAAGAAGCCACCACCACGGGGGGAGGGGCGGGTGGGCCGTCAGTCCAGCTCTGCTGGCTCTGCTATTGTGCAGGAGAAACACCAGAATGTTTTGTAAACATTCCTCCCCCCTGCTGAGCTTTCAAATGTAAACTACATTTGTCCTCAACAGTCTTCAGGACTATTAATGTGAAGAAAGAAATGGCCTTAAAAAAAATCAAGTTATGTAAATACATCAATTGAAGAAGCCTGAGAAACTAATCCAGCATTTTTTGTTTTAAATTTTAACACTCTTTAAAAATATATGTTTTTATTGATTTTTAGAGAGAGAGAAAGGGAGAGGGAGAGAGAGAAACAGCAATGAGAGAGAAACACTGATGGGCTGCCTCCTGCACCCCCCTCCTGGGGATGGAGCACAAAACCCAGGCCTGTGCCCTGACCAGGAATCCAAACCTGACCTCCTGGATCACGGACGCTCAACCCCTGAGCCACACCAGCCAGGGGCTCTTTGCACCTTGTTGATTTGGGAGAATTCAGCGTTTTAAGGGCGTCTTAATATTTTCTTCCGGAAGAGAAGAGTGAACATTTCAGGTGCTGGCTGTGAACTCTGAGCCAACAGTGACTGGCAACGCGCTGTTTGCCCTAATGGTTCACATTTTGTACTTTAACAAAAGGGTATTTTGTTTTAATGTGGTATTAATTAAACCTGGGCCCGGTACAGTGCGTGTCCCCTTGTTCTTTGGGGACCCTCTTTCATTTCTAGTAACAGAACCTGCTCGAATAGCTAGTGTTTTTAATCCCATTAGGAAAGAAGCAAGCATTGCTCTTAATGTTTAGACACAAGATCTACATGGGTATCCCTATAAAGCAAAGGCAAAAAGTTCGAAATCCTGGAGTGACTGCTCCTTTCAAAAGCGTAAGGTCATTAACGAGTACTTGCATCCAAATTTCATATTCTGAATTGCAGAGAAATGCATAATTGCCTGAGCAAGATGGGTCCTTTCCTCTGTGTTATATTTTGTTCTGTCTTTATTGTTTCCTTTCCTGCTCGCCAGAGCAACGCATACTTTTTGCAAAAATCCAACCATTGCAGACATACCTGAGCTGGGAGTTCCTCTAATACCCGCCCGGAGAGGGAGCACTCGTCGCAGTTGGGGTGAACCCTGCAAGAGGTTATTTAAGCTCCAAAATGCTCGCCCTGGTGGTGTCAGCGTGAATTTTTCAAAGGGTCACTTTGATTCCCGGCCACCAGAGGTCGCCGCAGCACCGCAGCGAGCGTGGCCGGCCGCCTCCCTCACCTGCGCACCTTCCCAGTGGGAAGCGCCCAGGGGAGTTTAAACGTGGCTTCCAGGTGCTCAGGCTAAGAGACCTTTTTAGACGTCAGGAGCCCTGCTGTCCCCGGACCCCAGACGGCACTGCTCTCCTCGCAAACTCAAGCAAGCCCCTCTTCCCTGCCTCCCAAACAGCTAATTACTTAAATCGTTTCACCTGTTGTTTCACCGGCTGGGTTCATTTACCGTATTTATTCACAGAGACTTGTCACATCCCGAGATGTTCTGTGAAATGGGGTCGGGGGTGGAAAGCCCTGTGAGCAAAGAGGTTTGAGAAACGCAGCAGACGGTGGGTCCCAGCCTGGAGCACCCACGGGTTGGCGCAGTGAAGGCCCTGAGAAGCCCTTTGCTTAACCTCCAAACGGCATTCTCCACGCAGCTGGCTGGACAGCGGCTCCCTGGGCCTGGGCAGTTCACCTGTAACAGCCTGAAGACGTGGTGCCCTTTGCAACATTATTTGGGAAATTCTGATTGATACCATCAATTATTTTTTAAAACGTTACGAAATGCACACGTCACACTCTCATATAAGTATTCAGTTCATTTCCAACTTGGAGAAATGGTCTCCTTTTCAGTTCACATGTAGTTTAAAAGTTCATAGCTTTACAACGTTTTCTCCCCTCCAAATATTTCCCATTTTTTACTTTTTTAAAATTTTCTGTCTTGATGGCAGAGATTCCAGGACCTGTCTGTACCCATCCGGGATTCTTTTAATAATATTCTTGGAAAGATTATTACTATTTACTTCAGAATAGGAGATGATGTAACTGACTTTGAATTTCAAATCCGAGAAACCCACAAATATGAACAAAATCTAGCCCAAGACCAATAAAAGAAACTCGGAAACAGTAGGGAATCGTGCCTGTTTTCCGGTTTCTGTGTCATTACTACATATATTTCTATTTAATGATGTAAACACACGTTCAAATATTTTTTTTTTTATTACCATGGTAGGAAATCAGTTGGGACGACATTCTTTCCCAGCCGGCGAATCTAGTCTCAGCCCAGAACCTCACTGAGATGCCGAGGAGCCGTGTAGCTCGGTTAAGCATCTCCTGACCTGCCGAAATCATTGTGGGAGGTTTGTTTTCACACGTCGATGCTTTTTCAGACAACCTGCCCCGAGGTGGATGGACAGACATCGAACCGTTCGCCCCGAGGGACTCCCTGCCAGCCTGAGTTTGTAGCAGGCGCAGGGCGTCCCCGGCGCTGGGACGTCCCTGCTCCCTCCTGGGTCCCCAGCCGGTGGCTCCCTCGTAGCCAAGGCTGCAGTGACGCAGCCCCGGAGCCGGGAAAGGACACGGACTCCAAGAACTCGCCAGTCTCTCAGGTCTTTTGTGGTGCTTCAGTCGCTTTCAAAAAGTTTCTGCCGTTATGAACCGAAACCCAAACCCACCTACTGTTTCCCGGCCCAACTGCTTTCTCTTTGAACGTGGGACCAGGTCTCTGTTCTCACAGAGCCTCAGTGGCTCCCAGGGGGAGGGCGCAAGGGAACATGTTTCCACCCCGATAAATCTCACCCTGGAATTATTTCTAAAACGGGCCCCAGGAGGGGACAAGACCAGGCCAGGAGGAGAAACGGTTGGGGGGCGCCTCTGAGTGTTTCTTCTCTGTGGACGAAGCAGAAGGACCGTAAGGGATATTCCCGTAGGAATATCTAGTTTAAAACTAGCCTGTGCTCCTTTCCCCTGGGCGAGAGGTACCAGCCCAAACTGATCTTAGTAACGTGAGTTGTCTCCACACACCAACTGGGAGCTTCCTTTATTGGGGGGAAAAAGGTACTGTTGCTTCTGTTAGAGAGATTTTTACAGACATGTTCTGGAATACTCCGTTCCTCGTTGTGATGGACGCACACGGCGCCGCAGGGAAGGGGTCCGCGGTCCCGTTGCTTGGGGTTTGGGGGATGGAAGACGCCCAGATGGACCCGAGGAAGAGGGAGGAACACAGCGCTGTCCACAGAGCCGCAGAGAGGAGCTAATTAACTCCCGAGCTCGCAGTTTCCACCCAAGGGACGGCCTTTGCTCCCGGCTCACGAGCGGCGGGCGGATGGGCTCCTCGAGACGCAGGCGGGGGGGAGACAAACACCACGACTCCCATCGGTAAACAGTCTGTGCGCACACGATGATTTCCCTCCTCGGACGGCGGGCGCAGGGCTTTGTTCTCAACTCCAAGTGTTTCATGACGGAAAAGAAATACGTAGATCCTTCTAGGAGAAAGCTTGGTAGCGGAGGAGGGCCCGGGAGGGACCGGCGGGGAAGGCCGGGGAGGTTAGAGGTCAGGGCGAGGTGCCTGCGGGCGCTGGGCCGGCTGCCCGGCACCTGCTTTGCTGTTTCCTACACGTGCCGCGATGTCCACAGCACTCACCTGTACGAAGAAAATAATTATTTTAATAACAGACGCAAATGATTCCCCCAGAGACAAATGGGAGCTGAAGCCCTGTGATTTCAACTATTTTTCCAGACGCCTCTCCTTCAGACACCCGCCTAGCAGGACTCCGTGCGCTTTCTTTTTAAGTTTGCATACAGAAGACTTCAGTTTTGGGGGGTGCGGTTCTATGACTTTCGACAAATGCCGAGTCCTGTGACTACCACCCCAACCAAGACACAGAACAGCCGCATCCCCCCCACATTCCCTCCTGCGGCAGTTATAGTCACCCCTCCCCGCGGACCCCGCAGGACGGCTGCTCTGTTTCTTGTCTCTACCCGTTTGCCTTTTCCAGAACGTCCTCTAAATTTAATCATTCACATACTATTTGTTTATTTTTTGCTGGTATTTCCAAAGTCTCCAGGGGACCTCCGTGCTCTTTAACAGAGGAAGGAATGAATTCAAGATCTCGCAGCTGCCAGGGGCAGTAACATTGTTAGTGGCATTGATTTGTTTTATAAAAACATATGCGAGAGCCCGGCCGGCGAGGCTCAGGGGTTGAGCATCGACCTGGGATCCAGGAGATCGAGGTTGGATTCCCGGTCGGGGCCCAGGCCGGGGCTGTGGCTCGATCCCCAGCAGGGGGTGTGCTGGAGGCAGCCGGTCAGTGACCCTCATCACGGATGTTTCTTTTCTTTTTTTTTTTTTAAATGTCTTTATTGATTTCAGAGAGAGGAAAGGAGGGGGAGAGAGAGAGATGGAAACATCAATGATGAGAAAGTCATTGATCGCTGCAGCCCGCAACCCGGGCATGTGCCCTGACCAGGAATCGAACCCTGATCACCTGGATCCCAGGTCAACGCTCAACCGCTGAGCCACGCCCGGCCGGGCACGGATGTTTCTCTCTCTCTCCCTCTCCGTTCCTCCCTCTGACATCAATAAAAACGCACTAAATGTGTATCTGGGAGAGTAGGACGGGCCGTGACTCCTGGACTCTGACCCCCCTGTCGGCCTTGGGAGATCGGGGTGGACGCGAAGGGCCTCGAATGGAACGGGGCTGGAGCGGAGGCTCCTTCGGAAACGAGGGCAGCGGGTCTGGGAAGG